TCTGACAGGGCAGCCACCAGTCACAGGTGGCTATTCAAATTCTAACACGTTAAATTTAAATATAATCCAAATGCAGGGTGGTACCCAGGATGGGATCCCAGAACAGGAGGAGGATAACACTGAAAAAGTTGGTGAAATCGAATGAAATTCAGACTAGTTAATAACACTGTACTACCTTGATTTCTTAGTTTTGATAAACGGACTGAGGTTATGTAATGTGATTAACATTAGGGGAGGGACTTCCCCAGAAGTTCAGTGGTTAAGACTCCACCTTCCAATGCAGGGTGCATGGGTTCCATCCCTGGTTGGGGATCTAAGATCCCACATGCCATGCGGTGTGGCCACAAAAAATAAAAAATAAAAATTACGGGAAACTGAGTACAGGCTATATAATAACTCTCTGTACTGTCTTTACAATTTTCTTTTGTAAGCCTAAAATTATTCTAGAACTTGAAAAGTACTAAGTTAAATAAAATGAAAACTTCATTCTTCAGGCAGAGCAGATACATTTCAAGTACTCGGGAGCCGCATGTGGTCAATGGCTACCATCCTGGGCAGGGTAGAGACAGAACATTTCCATTAGTGCAGAAAGTTCTAGAGGACAGAACTAGTCTGTGCTGGCATCCATTGGATCCAGCAACTCATACCTGAAATTCCCAGAACTTCATTTTTCACTCGTGTTTTTCTTTCCATCTGCCTATTACTATTTCTCTCCATATAAATCATTACTGCTGCATGGCATGTTAAACCAGCCCAAAGATGGTTTTTAATACATTCAGTAGTTACTGAACAGAGCCTTCGGTATTCTGTTGGGGTTTCAAGCTGACTTACATGGACCCCACTGGGAAACCCTGGCATTAAATGCTTCTAATAAAGTTACTGAATAAACACAGCTCCCACTGTGATCTGAGAGGAGGCCACACAGCGAAAGTCCTGGGTCCGGTGCTGACTCAAAGTGGCCCCCAACATTCCAAGGGTGGAGTCCAGATTGTGGGGGGTGGGTACTGGGTGTGTTTCAGGCCTCTCTCCCCAGCTATAACCCGGCTGTGCTTCAGGCATCTGACAAACCTGCACTAAGAAGAACGAACTGGCCCTGTCCATAGTGGTCCTTCTAATCCTCTTTAGAAGCTCAACTCAAGGGTAAACCTGAGGGAATCCCCTGGCACTTCCAGTGGTTAGGATTCTGGGCTTTCACTGCCAGGGGCATGGGTTCGATCCCTGGTCAAGCATATAAGATCCTACAAACCAAGTGGTGTGGCCAAAAGAAAAAAAGTAAACCTGAGCCCCATGGTCACCTCCACCCCTCTGCCTCCTTGAAGGGGCATTATCTAAGCTTGGCTTGGCTGGGGTCACTTGTGGTTCCCACCTATATTCTTCCTGGCCTGTTTTTCCATGATCTTCAGGAATGACCATATGGGATGTTTGTAGTCAGTAAACGTGATTATGTTTTCCTTCCACATCATCCTTATGCCCCCACCCACCTTGCAGGTAACCCCCAACCCCATCACTGCTAACCAAGCGCTGCCCAGTGGCTTCAAGTAGGCAGCTTCCTAGAAAGACAAGACACCTCCACTGCTTTTCACCCCCATCCCAGCCCTCACACTCAGAAGGAAACCCCAACAACACCTTCCTCTGGACCCTGACTCCCCTCCCCCATCACCTACCACCCTTCTTCTTGTCCCCCACCCTCCAGCCACACTGGTCTGATTTCCATTCACAAATATGCCAAGGTCACTTCCACCCCAGGGCCTTTGCACCAGCTGTCCCCTGGCCCAGAACAATCTACCACCACCCTCCACACATGCTGTCTCCATGTCTTTAAAGCCTGACCTAAAGTGAGGCTGCCCCTGATGCCCCAGTCAAATGCTCTGTCCTGCTGACCATCTGATCAAGTTGGACCATCTGATCAAGATGTCCATGAACAAACATCTGATCAAGTTCATGTTTGCTGGTTTATCCAACTTTCCCATTAGAATGTAGCTCCTGGTACCAGGGACCCCACAAGTCTGGCTTGCCTGAGGATGTACCCCCAGTACTGAAAACAACGTCTGCACACTTTTTGAATGGAAAGGCTTCAACTCCATCACTGCTGCTCTGCAGAAGCAGGAGCAGAACAAAAGGGGCTTCAATCCAGGGCCCTGAGTGGTCTCCAGGCAAGGCGCCCACAGCTCTAGGAACCCGAGGATAGGGATGGTCAGCTTTTGAAGCAACCTCATGTCTTCATCAAGTCTGTTTCCACAATAAAATTCAATCTCCTGAAAGCTGCTTATAAAAGTGAAGGAAAGAATGGCTGGGAAAATCCTGGTGCTGCTCCCCTGTAGGGAGAAATACCAACCTAGCTATTCCTTTATTTTTCAAGATTCTATTTAAAAACCAGAAGAGAAGATGTCAGGTTATCACAGATCCTCCCCTAGCCTAACTGGTGGGTTCTCTTCTCTTCCACCCCAGAGGCCGGATGGAGTTGATGCGTGTGTTCATGTCCCAGGGTAGAGAGGACCACAAACCACAACCATGGAGGGCTGGACAGGACCTCAGCCACGTCTTCCTCCCATTTATAAGGGGGCGAAGTGAGGCCTGGCAAGGAGCAGGGATGTGCCTGAGGCCTCAATCTAAGGAGCTGCAATGTCACAAATCTAAGATATCACTGGTTGTTAGAGACACCCTTATTTTAAGTACTAGTGAGAAAAAAAAAAAAAAAGGATGCTTCCAATTAAGACTAGGACACATCATTGATTTCCAAGATATTAAAACTGGGAAATAAAACATGGGTTTGAGGACTTCTCTGGTGGTCTAGCAGCTAATACTCCGCACTCCCACTGCAGGGGGTGCAGGTTTCATCCTTGGTCAGGAAGATCCCACATGCCATGGTCAAAACAATTAATTAATTAAATAAAACTGCTATCTTCAAACAAATCTTAAAAACAAAACAAAATCAACCCAAAAATGTGGGTCTGAGAATCCACAGCTGGGGTCCTGCATGTTTTGTGGCTGCTTCTCATTGTCATAGGCTGTGGTCCATTGTCTGACCCCCAAGTGGTGCTGAGCTGAGGTTCTTTGTCTTTCTAGAACAGAGCTTCTGAGCCAGCACTGCTGACATGCACAGCCCTCTGGCTGAGCGGCATCCCTGGCCTCTCCCCATTAGATGTCTGTAGCACCGCCCCCTGTTGGTGACATCCAAGAATGTCCCCTGGAAGGCAAAATCACCCCTGAGGTGAGCACCACTATGGAGCCAGAGAAGAGAAACCAGAGAAGAAGCCAGAGCCAGAGCAGCTTAAGTATGATGTGGGCAAATACACACAAGGACAGAAACACCAAGTTAAACGGGTCCAGTCCAGGCCTTCTCCAAACTGATGTGTGATCTCCAAAGGTGGGGAGAGGAGGCAGGATTTCCAACTCTATTTGGCTACAAAGCCCTTTCTGGCAGAGACCTGGGATCCCAGGGACATGGGAAGGAGGTGCCCTGGGCCCCCGGGGGTTGAGGCAGAGGAGGGAAGTCGGGGGCCACACTCTCTGTCTAACGCCCTGCCCACCGTGGCGATTCTCCCTGGATCCTGGGCCCCTCAGAGCCCGGGCACCCTGTGCAATGCTCCTCCCAACCCTCCTTCTGGGGGATAGCTCCGTCCACAGCAAAGAGGGGACAGGATGCTTTTGGGGACGGTGCCAGGGGCAGCAGGCTTCAGAGAGCTGACCGCACTGACCTAAAGGGCAAGCTTCCCACACCGGCTCCAGCAGCCCCATGTAGCCAGCTGGGCAGGGTCATCACCTGTCACTCACACACCCCCGCCTCTCCCTGCCGGTGGCACGTCCCTGTCCTGCTCCGGGGACCCCCACCATGATTGGAAAAGACAGCTGGGTTTTCTCTCTAGTGTCTGGGTGGCCTGGAGCTAGCCAGGATAGAGGGCCACACCTCACAGTATACACACCAGCATTTCTATTGTTAAAAAAAGCACAAGAACAGCAACAAAAGACAAGGTAGCATGCCGGGAAATGCCTACCGTCATATGACCGCTAGGAAGGCTAACTGGCCCCGTTTCTGGGGACTCGGTCTGAGAACGTAGCCCTGGCTACATCGCCAGGAAACCAGGAGGAAATGCCCCATTTTCCTGCCCCATAGGGGGTTCCTTCTTAAATTTTTTAGGTTAAAAAAAAAAAGTGTGTGTATACATGCATATATACACAAAATTATAAATAAAAACATTGTAAAAGCCTAGAAGAACTTTCCATGAAAAGCAGCCCCCCATCCCTTCTCTCAGGCCTCAGTTGATTCTCCAGGTCTATTCTGCCACCACTTGGGTTCTGCATTCTGCTGATGGTAATCTTTACCTGTGTGCCTGCTAAGTTGCTCAGTCATGTCCGAGTCTGCAACCCCATGGACTATATAGCCCACTAGGCTCCTCTGTCCATAGGATTCTCCAGGCAACAATACTGGAGTGGGTGGCCATGACCTTCTCCAGGGGATCTTCCAGACCCAGGGATTGAACCTGTGTCTCTCACGTCTCCTGCACTGGCAGGTGGGTTCTTTACCACCAGTGCCAACAGGGAAGCCCGGCAGTCTTCACTAAATAATGCGCTGGCATCACATTTTGATTTCTCAGTGGTGGAGAAGACCTAAAGACGCCCCGCTAGGAGTAAACATCTGCCTCCTTAACTCCTGCCCCTTGATGTTTTCTGAAACCACGTGGAGCGAGTTTGCCGCTGCTCAGGTCCCCACGCTGGCAGACAGGTAGGAGCTCTGCCGCCTCACCTCACCCAGCCATCCCCCTCCTCTAAGCACCCGAGGGGAGTGAGAGAGATCAGAGCTGCGGCTGGCAGTGCCAGGCTGAAGCCATCCCACAGGCAACAGCCTACGGGGCCTCCGAGCCCTCGAGACCCCTCCTGGGCTTGGCCCATGAGATCCACAGCCGGGTTTCAGATCCAGGCTCCAGAGGCTTGGCCTCTCCCATGAAGGTGTGTGTGAGTGTGGTCCATCCCAACGCCCTGAGACAGCACGTGGACAGTACCTGTTGGAGGCAGAGAGCTCCTGTGAGGGCCAGGGCTGGCTGGAATCCCAGAAGAACTGCTGGGACGCTCCCAGGTGGTCTCTGGTCAAAGAAAGAAGAAAAAAGAAAATCGTATTGAGAATTTCCTAGGGCAGAAGCTCTGAGTGTCACAGAGCAGCAATGGATCACCTGCCTCTCTGACTCCAGGAAGCTGGAGTCTGCCTTCTGCTCCCATATAATTGCCTCTCCTGCCCGCCCCCGGCAACAAAGCTGCTCTTATTGGGGACCCTTCTCCATGAAGCTGGAACCAGAAGGTGGCCTTCTGGTTGGGACCCTCTGAAACAGTCCCCAATGCCCCTCCCTTCCCTCCTCACACATCTCCACTTCAGTTCCTTATCCTGGAACCCCAGCTGCCAACTGCTCATCACTCCCCAAATGCCCACTGTCATCTGAAACCCCAAAGCCCAAAGGAAGGAGCCTTGGGTCTGGACAGAGACCCAGGTACTGTGTCCTACGAAGGTGACTTCCTTCCTGCTTTTCCAATTCCACACCTTGTGTGAATTATAGCTGCTGTGTTTGATCACACACTTCTCTCTCCTCCGATGCCCAGCCAGAAATAAAGCTAATATTGCAGCTATATGATCAGCCCCCAAACACTACTTCACCCATTTCACAGCTGTGAGCAGAGACTTCTTATTAAGTTATCTACTGATAAAAGCAATGCCTTCTTGGGACTTCCCTGGAGGTTCAGTGGTTAAGAATCTGCCTGCCAATGCAGGGGACACGGGTTCAATCCCTGGTTGGGGAACTAAGACCCCCACATGCTGCAGTGAACCCTGAACTCTGCAACTATGGAGCTGGACTTCTGTGGGCATCTTTCCAAAACAACAAAAAGGCCCGACAACACAGTGACTGTGAGTCGCTTAGTTGTGTCTGACTCTGCGACCTCCATGGACTGTAGCCGGCTGGGCTCCTCTGTCCATGCGATTTCCTAGGCAAGAATACTGGAGTGGGTTGCTGTTTCCTTCTCCAGGGGATCTTCCTGGCCCAGGGATTGAACCTGGGTCTCCTGCATTGCAGGCAGATTCTTAACCATCTGAGCCACCGAGTAAAAGCAGTGAGTCTAGAGCCAGATGCCTGGGTCTGAACTAGCTCTGCCTCTCATCACCAGTTTGATCTCCACCAAGCTCATTGTCCCCCTGGTGCCTTCGTTTCCTCCTCTGTAAAACGAGACCAAGAATGGCATCCACCCAAGACAGCGCTGTGTTCATGCCAAATGCCCATTTACAAGTATTTAGTGTCAAGTTATTGTTAAAGTTGATCCAATATATGGACATGACATTATTGAATCCAAAATTCTATTACTGAAAATCCAATTGTTTCAAATGCTAAAAACAAAAACAAGCACAACCTTCCAATGGCTTCTCTCAGTGGAGATTCGAGAGAACTGGGCTGTTTGCCTCAGTTCTGCCTCTCATCTGCTGGGCAGCCCTGGGCAAGTCACGCTACCTCTCTGGCCCTCTGATTCTTTACCTAAAATGAAAGGGTTGGGCTGACTGGTCTTTTAGGCCCCAAGAGTCTTGCCCTCAGACTTTGATCAAAATCTTGAGACCTGCTGTTTGGGCTTTAGGGTATTATGGCTCTAGCAGTTGGGTGATAATATGGCTCTTTCACGTCTCAAGGGAGAGAAAATGGGTGAGCAAGGGAAGCCGCCGGGAGAATGTGACCAGGAACGAGAGAGCAGAGGGGTCTTCCAAGAGGGATAACCAGAGGGCAGGCTCAGTGGCCTTCCTGGAGGAGGAGGGACACTTGTGCTGCAGCTGAGAGCACCATGACTTGGAGACTATGTGAAGACCACAAGCCTGCTTGGAGGTCGAGGGCAGTGCAAAGTGTTCTAGGCCTGGCCACTCGTGACCTGTGACCTTTGGAAGCCAACTGTGTTTTGCTTTTCTCAACTGTAAAATGGGGATGAAGACGGTACCTAAGCAAGACTGTAATAGCATGAAACAGGATGACAGGGGCACACAGTAGGTGCCTTATCAGAGTTGAATAAAGTAAACAGATCATGGAGGCTGGATGTGAAAATGTGGGGGAAACTCAGATGAGAAAATAGCCTCCCTACAACATGAGGTGGGCTCCCCTGGAGACCAGACGTAGCCTGCAGCCTCAGTCTTGTTTCCAAAGAGACATTCCTTTCTGCTGCCGGATTGGCCTGCCCACACTGCTGCCCGCCTGCCCACAGCACTCAGCTCAGGCTCTCTCCTCCAACCTGGCCCCCCGTGGCTCTAGGGACCAACCTGCATGGCTTCACCAGCTCCTCCAGGGTCCCCCCACCCACCTCCAATCAGTTCCAGGCTCTGGAGCCTGGAGGCACCCCGCTCCATTACATTCCTCATTCCATCTCACCCCTAACATGTCTCCTCACTTGGGGGTCAGCGCTTACCTGGAGAGTCCCTTGTGGAGCCTTTTCCAACATGGCACAGAGAACAAAGTCCAAACTTTGCATCCGCCCTCACCCACTACCCCACCTTTCATCCAGCAAGGCTCTAGCACAGGCACCTTGTCTGTCTGTCCAGAAGGACCCATGCTGACCTCACTCCAGCCCAGGTAACAGGCTCACTGGTCTCAGAACATCTTTGCCATAGCTGTTCACACCCCCAATCACCTCCTTCCCCTACTCTGGGTGTCAGAATCGTGTCCATTTGTCAAGTTCCAACAACAATGCCTCTCTCTCCTTGCAGCCCTCCCAGGGGCCTGCGAGAGGAGGCTCTGAAATCACAGGAAGATGCTGCCTGCAGTCAGAATCCCACTCTAGATGCTGGGTTCTGAAGGAAGGCCCTGTGCCCTGCACTGACTGGCCTGGGTCACTCACCGGCCCCCAGAGGCTGGAGACCCTTATCCCTGTAAGGACTGAATCTCTCTGCCCAACCTCTGCCAGGGCTCCATCAGGGACAACGCAGATGCCTGAAGGATTCCACCTAGTCCACCTCCTGGTCTTGGCCAGCTCAGGCCAACACAAAACACAAAGCCACTTCAAGCCTGGGGCAGGAACAGGGCCAGCCCAGGCGGACATCTGGAAAGAGTCCCTGGGGCTCTAGCTGAATGATCTCATCCACAGCAGGAAAAATTGCCCCAGATGACCACACCACCCACAGGGAGGAAGCCATTCCCAGGTCTTTTCCACTAAGAGACTCCCTAATCTATTTACAGCACACCAGGCTCCTTGATAGAGCCAAAGCAACAAAGCAAAACTGAAGTGGCAGCTTGGGGCTCAAGTTACCCTGGACTGGGGCCCCTTTGCATCCTCTGAGCTTCCATCCTGGGGCTCTAGGTCATTCCAGGTGACCACCCAGACTCCTAATAGTTGCTTCCACGCAGGGAAATCAGTGAAGACAGAATGGAAGGAGTGAGACCCTCGCTTGGAAAGCTTCTGACCACCCAATTCATGAGAAAACATGTTTGATTTCTAAACGCAACTCTAACTCAACTTGAACCTTTCCCGCTGAAACCAGGGGATCCAGACACACACAAATGAGCTGACTGCTGAGCATGGATCAAATCAAACCAAGGGAGGTTGCTATTCTAGCCAACCACGTGAAAAGCCAGAAATTTCCACTTCCCCATTAGTGGATTACAGCAGCTGCTCTGTGTAGAATAAAACTTTTAAAGAGAGAGTGTAGTTGAAAGGTGGGAAGTGATGTAAATCTTGCACAGATACCCCCTCCTTAAAATAATCATAACCAATATTACGATTATTAAAAAAAAAAAAAAATAAAAGCAAGCAGGAGTTATTAACTTTAAAGTCACCTCTAAACTTCACCTCCCTTTGTTAAGGCCACTTCCTGCATGCATTACAAGTATTGGGAGAGTCAGTGAGCCCCTGGACTTAGGCCACCGGTCTTGGTGATCGGTCTATGGTGGATCTGTAAGCCTTGCCCCCCTCCCCTGCTCGCCCTGAACCCCCCTCCCACCGCCTGAACCCTCTGCCCCACCCACCAGTAGACTCCTGGTTCATGATTGGTTCATTTTCTTGGCTGGGTAGTGGCTCTCTGCTGCCCCCACTGGCTATCAGGTGAAATAACCATAGGTACCAGCCAAGAACTTCCCTGATAGCTCAGTTGGTAAAGAATCCGCCTGCCATGCAGAAGACACGGGTTTGATTCCTGAGTCGGGAAGATCCGCTGGAGGAGGGATAGACTATCCACTCCAGTATTCTTAGGTTTCACTTGTGGCTCAGCTGGTAAAGAATCCGCCTGCAATGAGGGAGACCTGGGTTCAATCCCTGGGTTGGGATCTCCTGGAGTAGGTAATGGCAACCCACTCCAGTATTCTTGACTGGGAAATCGCATGGGCAGAGGAACCTGGAGGGGTGCAGTGCATGGGGTCACAAAGAGTTGGACACAAATGAGGACACAAAGTGGGGATAACGCGATTGTAGTCTCATGGTCCTGCGATGAGCAGCCAATGAGCACATACAGCACAGTCTCCAAGAGAGAGGAAGCCCTCAAAGACTTTAATGATAAGAATAAAACAAACCCCTGTCCATTCTTTCCTTCCTTCCCTCCCTCTGCCTCCCAGCTTCCACCCCACCAGCTCCTCCCGCCCCACCCACCTTCACAGAGCACATCTCCCAGAGGGAGAGCAAGGGCAGGCTCCCTCTGTGATGCTGATGGGTTAGAGGTGTGAGTAACGCATGTCAGAGCTGAAGGGGGTCCCTGAGTTAACCAGAGAAACTTGCCTCCACATGGCAGCCCACAGGCTCCTTATGCAACCCTGTGATCTGGGTGGGGCAGGGGCCCTTATGCACACTTCATAGGTGATACAGAGGCCAGTGGATGAAGCAGTGGCCCCAGCAGTGCCCTGGCCCTTTGATACTGGCTTGAGCCAAGCTCTGGACTGGCTCCAGCTGGCACAGTCCTGCAAGAGCAGAGTCAGGAGCTGCCAGAAAAACTCTAGTGGGAGGGGATGGGAGGCCCACCTGGAATACTCCAAGCCTGTCCTTCAATCCCTTTAGGATCCCCAACCTTCTCATACAGCATGGACTCAGGCAAACAGCAGGAATTCCTGAACTTGAGCTGGCAGTGATGAGGGCTGATGCCACA